TTTTTGAATTAAGATATATTCCTGATTGTAATTCTAAAACATTCAGTCATCAATCAAGGTTATTCATATTTTCATGTGACCTTAACACCTCAGATATGAATGATCTGATGAGGGATCCTCTGTCAACCTTCCCTGTGTGCCGTACCTTGATCAGTTCATTCTTCAGTTTATAGATAGGCAGCCCCTGTCTCTGCTCTAGAATACTCTTCTTCTCTTTCTTCCCGTAAGATGCCTTCACACCGCCGCTGATGTGTTTCTTCCACTCCGGGAGGTCAGTGGTGCTGCCACCTGGACCACGCATGTTTGCCGTCAGCTGGCGCCCCTCAACTAGAACATGGATTACCATAGTATTACCACTGAGAGAGAGAGAGAGAGAGAGAGAGGGAGAGGTCTCCACGGACTGACACTCAAAATGTTTCTTCAAATCATCACTGTCAGGTGAAGTAGGCAACAGAAAGTTAGTATCAAACTTCACACTTACTTCCAACCATAGGGTATATATCATCAAACTTCACACTTACTTCCAGCCATAGGGTCTATATCATCAAACTTCACACTTACTTCCAGCCATAGGGTATATATCATCAAACTTCACACTTACTTCCAGCCATAGGGTCGGCAAAGCTCCTGCTAACTTCATCAGGATTGGCCTTTGTCATCTCTTCCTCCCTCTGCTGCTGCTTGATTTCCCTCCTCTCTTTCTGAAGAGCAGACTGCATCATGGCGGACTGTGCCAGAGAGCCGTCAGGGTTCTGGAAGAAAACCAGAGTTTCACAATGTGGTGCTTACAATACACACACTTATATGATAGTTTTAATGTCTCAACTTCATCTTAGACTTCTAACTACCCATTTCAAGTATGTTTTGTTTAGTTTATAAAGACAGACATTAAGCTACCTTCATAATCTTCACAGGACTAAGGTCCAGGTTACTGGTGCGTCCATACCCCTTCAGGAAGGCAGGCTCTTCTTCCACCAGCTCCACCTCTAGGTCCTCATCTGGGGATAGAAATATATATAGAGAACAATATATAGTGTTATAATACATTACAATACAATACAATACAGAAATACACCAGCTCCACCTCTAGGTCCTCATCTGGGGATAGAAAGACATCGTTTGTGATGAGAACAATATATATAGTGTTACAATACAATACAATACAATACAATACAGAAAAACATTGTTGGAGACAAGGGCAATATATAGTGATCACTTGGATCAGTTTATCTGGACATTTACTGGTCATCAATGTCCCTTGGTGTCAACTGACCGGTGTCTATATTTGTTTATTTGCTCTGTCTGTGGGACCCAGGTCCACTTACTGCTTGTCTTGTGTCAGTGTTTACTTAACTGTTTTGTATCTAATAAGAGTTTTGCTCTTTCAAGAAAAAAAAATTATTTCTAGTGTTAACTGCATAAATGAAATGACCTTTGTAACACGTCACCCTGAGACTGTCTTGTCACTCAGATAGTGTTTGGTCAAGTTATCACTTAGATTTTATATGAACCAAATATAATAGTAATCTTAATTAGCAAGTTACAACTTACCAGAATCATCTTCTATCTGTGGTAACAGTCCTGTCTCCTCATCAAAGTCAGGTAGCTCAGATTTATCAATAACATTGGCCGCCATCATCTGTTTCAACTCCCACCTTTCAGGAGAGGACATCCGTGGCCCGCGTCGTACCTCCTTGATCTCATCAATGTTTGGCAGGTCAACCAGAGGCAGGGTGGATGGACGGTCAGGATTTCTGGCTGTAGTGTCATCATCAGCGTCCACTTCACCACCCAACATCCTGGTCTTGCTGGGGTTCAGGTCTTCTCCCGTGTCCTGATCCACATCCTGAAGATATAACAATACAACATTGACAGGCCTTATACAATATAATAAAAAAATCCCCAGCTTCTGGATTACCTGTTAAAACTAATAATACTCATTTAACAGTATAAAGACAAATCATATCATGGTGTCATAGGAAAATAGTACAGTAGAAGTATTGATTTTGCTAAAAAAAATTTTAGAAATTGCCCCCAAAACCATTATGTTAGCGCTACCTTCATGGACAAACTGGTCTTCTGTCCAGTAAATGAGAGAACCTTGACCTTGACCCTTTGACCTTTGCTGACCACATCAGACACATTGATCACCCTGCCTTCTCTACGCAGCTGAAATAATTCAAATATGACACATGATATCTTATATGTACTGTTTTGTAATAAGAACTTCATGCCAGTTTAATTTCTTTAGTACAATATTCTCATCAAGGAGAGGCAATGATTTTAAAGATACATCTGAACCTAGTGTGGATTCCCAGTCACAAATATAAAATGCTTCTATTTGCTTCTTATACATATAAAATAAAACTGACATGCTGAGTGGTACATGGAATTTATCACTTGATCCACCATGAGAGAGCTTTAAAACAGCTCCTTCTTCCAATTTTTGGCCGCAAATAGGACCTACTTACCTGACCTACTTATCTGACCTACTTACCTGACCTACTTATCTGACCTACTTACCTGACCTACTTATCTGCCTTGGTTATGTACAGCACAGAAAGTGACTAGAAAATATCCCTTCTAATATCATTTTTCAGTTAATAAGAAACAGTTTCATTTGCCATTTCCAAATTACGCTTTTTAAAACTGGTGACACTTGCTCAGCTTTGTGGCAAAAAAAAAAAAAAAAAAAAAATTGACTTCAAATGCATCTTAAAGTCAGCAATGTACATACTTACCTGTGGTATATGGACCAGACCTTGATAATTGTGACTTACCTGTGATATATGAACCAGACCTTCCCATCTCTTTCTCAGCCCTTCCAACTGGACAAATGCTCCAAACTGCATAATGGAAGTCACCTTGCCATTACAGATCTTAAAATAAGAGAAAAGTCTTCTTAACATACCAGTGAGAAATGAAGAGGTGAAAATCATATTGCGTCAATCACAAACTTCAAATATTGAAGGTTACATGGACACAAATATCTTACATACAAGACCCAATAAAATAACTTAAATATTAAATAAACTGCTATAAATTTCTTTAACCTTGTCTTTTTCTTTAAAAAGAAAAAAAAAAATGACCAATGTTTTTTTTTGTTAATCTACAAAATTAACAAGTAACACACTGAATTTATCACATGTGAATCTGCTCTCTTTATGATCACAGTGAACTTCTGTAATATCACATTTAATTTTAATATTTTATTTCTTTTAAAAATTTTCATTTCTAAAAATTCGCCTCACCATCCCAGGAATGGGTTCCAGAGGCAGTTCTACTTCTTTCTCTCTGTGTCGATCTCTCTTCTTCGACTCATCTCTGTACCTGTCACGACTACGAGATCTGGAGCGCTCACGTCTTTTCCTGTCACGACTTCTGGATCTAGAGCGCGATCTTTTCTTCCTGTCCCTGTATCTGTCTCTGGAGCGACTTCTTGATCTTTTGCGATCTCTTTTTCTGTCTCTTGAACGGCTGCGAGACCTGTGTTTCTTTTTACGATCTCTGTCTCTACTCCTGGATCTGTGTTTTGGCTTGGAGATATCTGGCTTGCTGGAAAGAAATGTTTTTGTATCAATATTCACTGCAAAAATCAACATGATTTACTTTGATATTCATGTATCACAAACCATCAGAGTCAGGTAACAGAGACTGATAGGAACAGGAAGTATATAAGAAAATGATGAGAACTCTTATCTTCATCATTCTCACCTTGAACCATTCTAGAATAGGGCCTGTTCAGAACCAGTTAACCTGGGGACTAACTAATCTGCAGATCAAACCTTAAACCATTCTAAAATAGGGCCTGTTCAGAACCAGTTAACCTGGGGACTAACTAATCTGCGGATCAAATATGGCATGCAATTTACAATGGATTCCTGTCTCCCTGCAGAGGTAGTGCAGTTAAATCTCAGCATGCTTTCAAGTGGGATGCGCCACATTTGATCGGAGGACTAGTTAGTCAGTATATCAACTGGTTCTGAACAGGGCCTTAGTGTACACAACAGAATATTGCATAAAATTACGAATAAGACAAAATGATTCTTGCACTCACTTTTCCTTCTTCTCACTGGAGAACATAGCCTCTAACTCTCCCAGCATATCATCAGCCACCTGCTGGTCACTTGCTGGAGCTGCTGGCTTCTGGTCACTGGTCGGGACTGGTTTGTGGTCACTGGCCAGCATGTTCTAAAGCAGAATAAAGGTTATATAAGATACTGCCAGCAATTGCAGCACCCATTTTATAGAATGTACTACCTTCACACTTTTGGACTATAGAGTGCTGAGGTTCTTAGAAAATGACTTGAAAACATTCTTATTTGCACAGTACTTCAATTAATTTTAATACCTGAAATTATATATTTTTCTCATTTTATCATAAAAGGTTTTATTATTCAGACTATTTCTATTATAACCAGCATTAATAATTTTTTATTGTTTTATTCGCCTCAGCTTTTAGTATCTATAGAATTACTTGTTATTCTGCACTGAGACGGAAATATAGTGCATTTTTTAAGAAATAAATATTATTATTATTATTATTTATATAATACATTTCTGAAACCATATATCTGGCTCTGGCACATATGTAGCATTCAGGGCTCAAAGGTGACTACTTGTACACTGAGCATTTGGTCGTAAAAATCCATGTCAGAAATCCTCCTGGCTTATGAAGCAGTTGCCATTAATCTACTGAATAACACACTCAAACATATCCAATAAATATACTGTTTCAGGTAATGTTTTTATCCCCATAGCTAAAGCTGAGTAGCCAGTTCCAGGTATTCCTCACCTTATTACTGGAAGTGGAATTTAAGCAGGGAATTCTTCTTTTGTTAAATGTTTCAAAAGTTTATAACAAGCATGTGGGACCTTTTCCCCAGCAAATCCTCCAGTCGTCATTTGAATGGCCGCCAGCATCAACTGATGGCCTATATTTTCTAAACAGCTGTACAAGTTATGATTTTTTGGGAAATTTATAGGACAGATTTTGGAATGCTTGTTTTCCCTGAAATTTTGTAGGAAATTACAGATGGTAATTTTGAATAGCCTATACCCCTACCCCTGGGAGAAGACTACTAGTAGATGTGGGGGTACATCACTAAAATGAATACAGCACATTCCCTACATACCCTTACACTGGGATCATCTGGTATTGCAAGTCCTGGAAATAGTTTCTTCTTCAGCACTTTGTCTTCCACTTCTCCATCACCTTCAACTTCTTTTTTCTTGGGCTTCATGTGTTGTATAAGACGCAGCAGGTTTGCTGTGAATGACTCCTGGAATCAAGATTGTATTTTGTGATTTGAGAGAAGTGATATCACATGACAAGGCTTTGTTGTATGTAGATGGAAAACTGGTCAGTTCATGCTGAAGTAGACTGGCCAGGATTGAAGACCACAAGGACTTTAACCTCGACAACAAGGACTGCCAACAAGAAAAACAAAAACTTGTTTGACATAGCTAACAGAAATGTGATTTTTCATCAGTTTCTTCATTCCTGAAACTAGTTGTTTTAATCATGAAAGCTGTTTATTTTACTCACGGGAAACTCTGCCCCATTTTCATCCAGTGTTTTCTTGAAACTTTCATAGGTGTTGTTTTTCTCTGCCAAGGAAATGATAAACTCAGCTGGAAAGGAAAATAATCAAACATGAAGCAAATGAAACTATGTATGATACACAACCTCACTACAAGTGAAGAGGGAGTCAGTCAATTTATTATTGCGATAAGCAATGTCTTCAAGACTAACTTCCCATAAATTATACTTGTATCACTGTGATCACTTTACAAAGTATACGTAATGGATAAACAACTTACGGTTTTCATCAAGAAAATTATGCACTAATACAATAAATTTTTTCAATGCAGGATTCTTGTTTACCATAAAAAGTATATGCTTTTACAGCAGCGACTTACCCAAATCCTTATCATTTAGACCTAAATGATTGTCCAACTCAGTGCATACTTTAGATACCAAAGAAAGATGTTCTAGTTTCTCTAACTCGTTCATTATGATTAAAATTCACAATATTTTCTTTCCAGAGAAAATGCACTACGTTTTTCCTCCACATCCGGTCTACTGCGCAGTCACTTTGGCGCAAGATCACCTCACATCCGTATAGAGCTGTCTCCAGCACAAGTACATTCCTCTCACACCGTTTATTAATTTCCCACATATCTAAAAGACTGTTGTAGCGTTTTTAAAATACTTTTTATATATTTTAAATATTCCTTTATATAATCGTTAAACAAAAAAGATTAAACATGTGAAAACATGCAACATAAGGAAAATGTTGGTCTGACAGTGAATACCTGCCGTGTGTATCCTAGCCTAGGCATAGTTTCAACAGAGATGACAGCGAGGGAAGACGGTACACAGCAGTGTAGTGAAAAAGATTAATTTATGACCGATGTTCCAACAACTCGTGCGTCAAGAGTAACATAATTGCGACGATTTGTTTCAACTGTGAGTTTCTATAAGAAAGACGTGGAGTTTAGTGTTTGGGGACCGTTTATATTACATGTGACAGTTTGAAGAACTCCACATAAGTGGATATTGCGAAAGGTGAGTGTCAGCGTAGTCAGCTAAGTAACCATTGTCTGCTTTATCCATTCACAGTAACATCACTTCCCTCATGTGGGGAGGTCTATTATTCAGTTTGGATACAGCTACAAACTGCAACGAAGATCTTCATTTTGTCAATGTAATCTAATTTCCCCAGCTTACGTAAGTTAATTGGTAAGGTACTGGTATACCTGTACATTAACCAGATGATCACCACTGTGAATGGAAGCTTAAGAGATACCTTGTTAACCTATCCAAGCCAATTTCACAATTCTATAACACACTGTCAGTGT